GACAAGATTGTTCCTCTCGAGATAAAGCATGGAAAGTGCCGTGCAGCCCGACAGATCCCACTCGTCCAATTTGCCGCCACTGAAGATATTCGAAAATTCCATGGAAGTGACAATCGTGCACATCGACTGCACGATGCTCACGGGCAGCTGCCCGAACTTGCCCGCCTCGTGAAGCCCGAGAAAGTACCCCTTGAAATCCTTCCACGCGGGCGGGAAGACACCCGAGAAATTGTTGTAACCGAGGTCGATGTACCCTGCGATGTCCTTCAGCCACACGGGCAGTGGCCCCGAAAGCTGATTGTAGTTCATCTCTATGAATGACAGCTGCTTGCAGTTGGCCAACGAGTCCGGAATCCCCCCCGTGAGCGAGTTCACACGAAGACTGAGCATCGAAAGGCTCTTCATCTGCCCCAAAGCCTCCGGGATCCGTCCGCTGAGCCCGTTCAGACCCAAGCTGAGCGTGCCGAGCTTCTTCAGGTTACCGAGACCGCTGGGAATACTGCCCGTGATGTTATTCTGGGTAAGATCCAGCGTCACGAGGTCGGTAAGAGCGGAGATGCCCTCGGGAATGGATCCCACCAACCGGTTGTAACCGAGCGTGAGCGTCTGCAGTTTCGCCAGCTTGCTGATCTCCTTAGGAATCTCCCCGATAAGAGACGTCAGGCGGTTCTGCGTTCCGGTCAGGTCGAGGACGACGAGCGAGGTCAGGTTGCCGATTTCCGGTGGAATACTGTTCATGGCGACACTGGGAACTCCCGCCAGGCCGGACTCGGCAAGATTTAACTCGGTGACGGCACCCAGCTTGTTGCACTTGACTCCCCACCACTTTCCGCAGATGAAATTGTTACGGCGCTGCGCCGGAGCAGTAGGAACGACCCAGGTCTTCAGCTTGTAGTTGGCGTCGATGTTGCTGTTCTTGAGAGCAAGGAGGGCGTTCACTTCTACCCAGTTCGTCGGATTCGGCGCAGGTGCTTGGGGGGCCGGCTTCGCGACAACAGCCCTGGTACCTGCCGTGGCAAAAAAAAACGGAACAAATACACGAGGGAGGAACGGAAAGGAGTCAGCCTGAGAAAGAGTGGCAACGGATGACTGACCAAGAAACGGGAGACGCAAAGCGGGCAGACTCAAGCGGCGAAAAGATATATACTCGAAAACAGCAGGGGGGAGCAGCAAAAGCTTCAACGCCAACGGAGAAAAGAAGGGGCCAAGAGATAGAACACACGTGAGAACCATATAGTGAAGGGGGTACAAAAGTAAACGACCCCGGGAGCAAGGCGAGAGAGCGAACACCTACCCCATCCCTGCAGCTTCCGACGGTCACCGACGCTCTCCACCACCACCTCGTCCTCCGTACCGACCACAAGCCCGCCAGCCCCGCGTGCAACGCCAACGAACCCAGCGACTCCACTGGAAGCGGCGGCGGCGGACGCGACGGAAACGGCGCAGGATGAACGCTCGAGCGTGCCGCAGGAAGCGGTTTCAAGGTCGAAGTAGGTGCCGTCGGGGCAGGTGTTCATGGAGGCCAGCTGCTGCCGCCGGCACACGAAGTACGCGCTGGAGAGAGGAAAGGGGAGACGAAGGAAGAGATACGGAGAGCAGAAGATACAACAGAGAGAAGAAGATAGGACTTCAAATATTCTTTCAAGAGTTGGAAGTGAAACAATGAGCTTAATACCATTTTGTTCAGGGTCAACCTCGAGCACTTCAACGGCTGAGATGTTGCAATAATACTGTTTCAGAAAGTGCATCTGACTGACGCGGCACGTGTGTGACAATATGACTCCTCGCTAAGAAAGAGCAGCTACGAAATGAAGGCACTGAAACAAACAGTTCCTTGCCATCGACCAAAAAAAAAAAATGAGGACCTGCTACAAGGAATACGTATGTGAATCAAGTCCAAGCAACGAACCCGACAAGGGTCCAACTTCCATGTCGACTGCGACTGTTGTACGTGATTGCTCGCATAAACAATGTTCAACTTCAGGCACGCGATACTGGGTGATGCAGTTCATTTGCGTAAACAGACAATAGCGGGCTGACGCAACCGCGACGGGGGTCACACCTGCATGGAGGGTCAGCGGTAGCGTCGGCGTAGACGCCGTCGACCTTTCCGTGGCAGAAGTGGCATCGAGGAACAGTAAACTGGGTATTGAAGCATTGTGGAGGAGCAAGTGTGGGGAAACGGTTACGAAGAAATAAATTTGACCTTGTAGAAATAACGCAGAAAAACGCCTAAGAAGACGGAATGGAACGTCTGATGAATGAAGGTTGTCTATGGAAGTCGAAAGGAGGAGAAAAAAAAAAAGCATCTACAGCATATGGTGTTATTAGAGCAACGAACTGCGGAAAAGCCCCGATAACGACGACGGGAAAATGGTTAAGGCGTGGTCGTAGCGACTACTTACGCTCGGTCGATGGCAGAAGTTGCGAGCAGGGGATGGTTTACGAGGCGCGCGCGGTCGCGACATGCTCATCCTCATGGCATGCCTCTCTTTCAGCTTCGGAATCATGTGTCTGGGAACGCTTGGGTGCCATCGCGAAAGTTCGAGGTCGTCAACTATACCGTATGCGACGCCTACAAGGAGACAGCAGACTGAGAGGAGAAGAACGCTTTGGGGTCTTAACCGACCCATGAGCCTAGTCGGTAACAGTATTGGAGAGTCAGATTTGTGAAACGAAAACGAACAGCTAACCTAGTAGATTGAGAAATCCTCTAGAAACGATACTTGGGGGAGCGGCGTGCTGCGATGTGCTACACGAAGTTTGCTGCTCAACCGCGACAGCAACCCACACCTTCCAGAGAGAAATAGGAGTGAAGTGATAAAGAGAAGTGAATGACAAGGAGCAAGGAGAGGGAGGCAGGAAAGCAAACACGGAACATGTCAGGCAAGCAGGCAAGCAGCCCAGCAGCGATACTAGAGGGTTTCGGCTCAGGCGGAACAGTTGAGTAATGTGCGTCTAGCCATGGCGAGCGGGATTTTGTTGCGGGGTAGAATTGGAGGTTGGTTCCGCCCACGCACTTGTTCCCTTCCCGCGCGTTCCGCCCGTATTCCCCAGTTCCGCCTGCCCAACCGCGGAAGCTGTTCTACTGACTGTACAGTACTTCACGCGAACAGCAGCGGAGTGCACTTCCACTTCCACATCAACGGCCTCTGCCCCTTGTTGTGCTGCTGCACAGACGTGAGAAGCTAGCGACGGGCAGCTGTTATCCAAAATATCTCGTCATTTGCCTGGCTGTTTGATATGTTCTCAAAATGTATTTCACGGTTCTGTTTGGTGCAAACGTTTTTAGAATGGTAAACATTGATATCCGCGTTAAAATGGGAAATACCAAAGTTCCTGACGAGCAGTGCTTGGACGGTCTGTTTCCGGAAAGTGAAGGATCTCCAGCTCCAGTAACAAATATGCAGAAATTCGTGGACTGTTGCTGGAGGTGAAATGTCGGCGACCGGAAAACATTTTTCGCTTGGTCAGGTGATTTCTGGCAGCAAGCAGGTACTGTATGCACGGTCACCTGCACGGTCTCGTGGCAGGGGGAAAGAGAGGTTAGGGTGGCGGGGCGGAGCTCCAACCAGCGTAGCGCTGCTGGTGCTCCGCCATAGCCTGCCCAGCAGATCCATCTGCGCACTAAATGCCAGAAAGGCCCACAGTTTCTTCATTCCCGTACCCATCCCCTCACAGCAAACCCCAGCAGATCGTGAAACCGTCGAAAACGGCGGGAAGGGGTTGTTACGCTATGTGGCGATACCGTTACGAGCGAGCGACCATCACGTCTTGTTACACTTTATCCATCATTACACTGCAGATACTGGAATTATTCAATCTTAGCTTATCGTCCAGCAGTATCATGAGCTTCCTTTCACTTCCTTCTATCGTTTTCTAGGATAAGAACTCCATTCAAACGTTTAAACTCAGGGGGGAAGATAGACTGTAGCCTAAATATTATCAGTATGCTTATTATAGTTGAAATGTTCGTATTAGTATTATATAAACGAGAATATTATATTACTTTGGTTATAATCTGTTTCCAGCCGGCACTTATAAGGGCTCATACAAAGCATAACACTAAATACTGGAGATGAGGGAAGAACGTGTACATATCTATTTAGCCGTGACAACCTGTGGTGACCTACTATAGAGCTGCTTACAAGCAAGGTTGGCGGGAACAATTACGCTTTCTGCGCGGGAGTGGTTATAAATCTCCTCTCCCAACGGGAAATGCCTTTTTCTCGCAGAACATTGCACGTGACACAGAAATTGCCTTTTGACGACGTTGCCTTTCTTCCCCTTTCGCTTTTATCGATATATTTCTGTTCGTATCCTCGCACAGTCCCTCGCACACTCGTGCACCCTCGCACTCTCCCTCATACATCCTCGCACATTAGGTCGCATGAATCTCGCACATTCTCGCACACACACACACAAACTCACCCGCATTCTGTGCATGCCTGAATGACACGGTTACAGTGCGACGACATTCTCCGCTCCTCTCTTGCTCCACTGGCATATCCAATGCACCACTCAACTTTATACCTCAGATTTTCTTATCTTCAGCGGTCAGTTGTCAGGTGTCAAACCGACGGCAGTCGTCTTGTTTTCTGCTCCAAGCGTCGTCTTCTCCTGCTAGCGCTGTCCTAAGAGCTGCCAAAGGTTTCTCCCTCTGCGTGGCTTACTGCTGAAGTGGATTGTCGAATTCACGTTTATGTCCTCTGTGTGTCTGTGTTCCGTGATTCGTGAAGTGCCTAGTCTAAGTCGTCCGTTTCTCCCTTGTGTGCGAGCTACGCTGACTCTTTAGGTAGCAAACCGTAATTTCCGTCTGTTCCCGTTCGCATCCCAGCTCCACGTAGATTCCGGAATCGTAATAAAAAGTTTGAGGTTGGAATTTTCCAGATTTGAGATTCACTATGGGCGTTTCACGAGGGCTTCTGGCGGTGGCGATTCTTGCGAGCTTGCTGGTAACAGCCGTCTCGCGAATCAGCCGCTACGACAGCATTCTCGCCATGCCAGGAGGCGAGGGGCGAGAAGCGTTTCGGCAGTTTCTGAAGCGAGATGCGACGACGCACAAGACGAGCGAGACTAAAGACAGCGAGCCGCAAGAGGAGGGAACTCGCTGGGCGCTTCTTATCGCCGGTTCCGCCGGTTACGGAAATTATCGCCACCAGGTGGGTCCATCCGTCAGCAAGCCTTTGAAGTCCTTGGAGTCCTTCAATAATACTTTCTAAGCCAAAATAAACGGTTTGACAGCAGCTGATTTCCCCACTCAGGCGCTCGTTTATTGATGCGATGTGTGGGCTCCTCTTTTATATTTTGTGTGTGTGTGATTTTTTGTTTTTTTCTGAACTGAGCATAACTGCTTCTTTTTATGTCGACATCTTCCACCTCTTTGGCGAAATTGGAAAATTGGAAGCAGATTTGTCCCACGCGTACCAGCTGCTTTTTTCGTAATTTTCGTAATTAGTAGTTACGTGCAAATTGCAAGCAGATATGTCCCACGCGTACCAGCTGCTTTTTTCATAATTGTATGGTCTATATTTCTCATCGTTCTCGCAATTCCGCTATCGGTAATCTGCAGGCGAGCGCACGCCACTTGTACCAGCTGCTAATTTACTAATCCTACCTACCGTTCTCTATATTTCACCTCATTTCTGCGATTTTGTAACAGCCAATCTGCAGGCGGACGTGTGCCGCGCGTGCCTACCTGCTTCTTCAATAATTATTACCTTCACTGTCCATAATTTACATCACTCTCGCCATTCTACCATCTGCCTTTCTGCAGGCGGATGTGTGCCACGCGTACCAGCTGCTGCGGCGGAACGGCGTGAGGGAGGAGCACATAGTGGTGTTCATGGTGGACGATATCGCTCACAACCCTGACAACCCGCACCCCGGCACCATCATCAACCGCCCCGACGGACCCGACGTCTACCACGGAGTTCCCAAGGTGCGTCTGCCAGTCCCCACGTGGGTGCTGCACGGCAGTCCCAAGGTGAGGGAGGGAGGCAGAAGCACATAGTGGTGTTCATGGTGGTCGATATCGCTCACAGCCCTGACAACCCGCACCGATGGGCCCGATGTCTACCATGGCGTTCCCGAGAGTGTTATAAACCCCCTCCTCTCTCCTCTCAGGACTACACGGGGCGGCACGTGACGGTGAATAACTTCATCGCAGCACTGCTGGGTAACGCCTCTGCCATCAACCCCCACCCACTTCCCCCTGCCCTGATCCTCCCAACACCCCCCACCTCTTCCTCTCCTCTCCCCCTCTCAGGACTACACGGGGCGGCACGTGACGGTGAATAACTTCATCGCAGCACTGCTGGGTAACGCCTCTGCCATCAACCCCCACCCACTTCCCCCTGCCCTGATCCTCCCAACACCCCCCACCTCTTCCTCTCCTCTCCCCCTCTCAGGACTACACGGGGCGGCACGTGACGGTGAATAACTTCATCGCAGCACTGCTGGGTAACGCCTCTGCCATCAACGGTGGGAGCGGCAAGGTCGTTGCAAGCGGCCCCAACGACCATGTGTTTGTTTACTACACCGACCATGGCGGCCCGGGCATTCTGGGTGCGTGTGGGTGACGTGTGGGTGCGGGTGGCATGGTTGTGTGCGTGGTTGTGTGGGTGCATGAGTCGTGGTGGGCAGTGGCAAGGGCATTGCAAACGACCCCAACGACCATGTGCTTGTCTGTTACCCCGACCATGGCGGCCCGGGCATTCTGGGTGCGTGGAATATGATTGGGTGGGTGGGTGGATTGGTGGGTTGTCAAGGCTACATGGGTAGCTCTGAAGGTTGTTGCGAGCGGCCCCAACGACCATGTGTTTGTGTACTACACCGACCATGGCCGCCCGGGCATTCTGGGTGCGTGTGTGGGGGGGTGGGTGGGGTGGGGGGTTGCATGGGTGTGTGGTTGAGTCGGTGTATGGGTGGGCAGTGGCAAGGTCATTGCCAGCGGCCCCAACGACCATGTGTTTGTGTACTACACTGACCATGGCGGCCCGGGCATTCTGGGTGCGTGGAAGTGGGTGGATTTCTGGGTGGGGGGTGGGCGGGTGGCTGGCTGGGTTGGTTGTTAGAGAGTCGTGGGTAGCTGTGAAGGTCATTGCGAGCGGCCCCAACGACCATGTGTTTGTGTACAACACCGACCATGGCGGCCCGGGCATTCTGGGTGCGTGGGGTGTTGGGTGGGTCGGTGCATGGGTGAGTGGGTGTGAGAAAAGATAACTGGTCGCAACTCAGTGTTGTTACTTTCCCATCCCATGTTTTTTTTCTCCATTTCTTGCTGCTGCGTTTCCTGCTTCCTGCCCTGCTGCACGCCATTTCTGCTGCCAATCAACGCTGCATCCTGCCACCTGTGTGTTGTCTGTCTGCTCCCTGCAGGCATGCCCGAGCCCCCGTTCCTTAGAACTGACGAAGTTGTTGGAGCGATTTCGTCGGTTCTAAGAAGCGGCCGTGTTGTCCTAACCGCACTGCTGCCCGTGTGTCCCCTGCAGGCATGCCCGAGCCCCCGTTCCTCATGGCTGACGAAGTTGTTGGCGATTTCAGTTCTAAAAAGTGACCATGTGTCCCAACACCTCCCCTCCCCCCCCCCCCCCTCCTCGTGATGCCTCTCCCCTGCAGGCATGCCCGAGCCACCATTCCTCATGGCTGACGAGGTGGTGGGAGCGCTGCAGAAGAAGCACGCCGACAAGGGCTTTAAGGAGCTGGTGAGCGGTGCTTGGCAGGGGCGGGGAATGTTGGAAAGGGGTGTGAATGAGGGTTGGATGCATAGGTGGGTGACGTGATGACGTGGTGGGAGCGCTGCAGAAGAAGCACGCCGACAAGGGTTTTAAGGAGCTGGTAAGCGGTGCTTAGGCGGGTGTTGGGAAGGGGTGGTAGGCGGGGGTTGGGTTCATGGTGGGTGACAAAGTGGTTGGCGCTCTGCAGAGGAAGCACGCGGCCAAGGGCTTTAAGGAGCTGGTGAGAGCAGTGGGGGTTGGGAGAGGCGGCAGGGTTGTATTCAGAATGGGCTATTTTCGGGTAAGGGGTGAGAATGGTGAAAGCTGGTGATGAGTAGTGGGGCTGGATTTTACTTTTGAGAACTCTTAAAAATAAAATCCACATAGTTGGTGGGAGTGGTGGAAGTTGGTGATGACAAGTGGGACAGTGGGGAGGGTTGGAGTACAGAAGGGGAAGCAGGAGTCCTGCTACCCGCCTCCCCTCCTCTCTCCCTTTCACCAGGTGTTTTATCTCGGAGCGCCCAAGTCGGGCAGCATATTCTAGAGCCTGCCACAGAAGATGACTTATGAGTCATCTCAAAAGTCACCTCGTTACTATGGCACACGACACCTTGCCATCAAGGAGAGCACTTATTGCTTGGACACTTTCTAAGAGGGGTGTTCTATCTTGGAGCATGTGATTCGAGCAGCATACTCCAGAGCCTGCCACAGAAGACGTGCCTTCGCTTTCCTCCTCCTTTGCCATTCCTGCAGGTGTTCTACCTTGAAGCATGCGAGTCAGGCAGCATATTCAAGGGTTTGCTGCCGCCCAACATCCACATCTTCGCCACCACATCAGCCAATACTGCCACCAGTGCCAACATATGTGCCTTGGGATTCCCCATCCTCCTCCATCCCACAGGTGTTTTATCTGGAAGCATGCGAGTCAGGCAGCATATTCGAGGGTTTGCTGCCGCCCAACATCCACATCTTCGCCACCACGGCCATCCATTGTTTGGAAACATCCGATATATCTCCCCATCTCCTCCCTTTCCCCGTGCTTCCAGGTGTTCTACCTCGAAGCATGCGAGTCAGGCAGCATATTCGAGGGCCTGCTTCCTCCCAACATCCACATCTTTGCCACCACAGCAGCCAACGCGGAGGAGAGCAGTTGGGGCACGTACTGTCCGGGGATGAACCCCCCTCCGCCCATTGAGTACGAGACTTGTCTGGGGGACCTTTACAGCGTCGCCTGGATGGAAGACAGGTGAGCACTTCCTTTGCCCTCCTTTCTCCTCCTCGATTTTTACCCTTTCCACTCCTCCTCCTCCTCCTCGTCCTCTTCCTACCGGTTCCCTCTGGTGCTGTGTCGTGGGCGTATGGTAAATACAAAGCGTGTCTTTGAGGAGAGCAGTTGGGGCACGTACTGTCCAGGGATGAACCCGCCGCCTCCCATCGAGTACGAGACGTGTCTGGGCGACCTTTACAGCGTCGCCTGGATGGAGGACAGGTGCGTACTTCCTTTGCCTTCCCTTCTGGGAGAATATAGGGGACATGTCAGGGAACATACCTGGAATATCCGGGCAGAAATGTTTCCGTACATGAAAAACTCGCGCAGGTTTGCCTAGATGGAAGATCGGTGGGATGGGATCTGATCCGTACACCCAAGCATTTAAGGGGGCACAAGTTATTTAGATTCAGGCCTGTGAAAGGGGCGGCTGCAGATTCTGCCGCACGCAGGTGCTGATCTTATCGATTGCATTTCGGATCCGAGCCGATGTTGTCTACTCATCCTCCTCCTCCACTCTCGGCTCGGACGGCGAGGCAATCTTCCAGGTGCCTCAAAATTTGGGTTGGATTCTGGATTTGAACCGACGCGATTTGCTCGTTCTCTGCCTTCACTCCTGGACCCTTCCACTGCTATCAGCGCGATTGTTGAAACGTCTCAATCCTTGCGTCTCTGACGCCCTGTGTTCTGATGCTCTCTGACCCGCCTCTAACCTCGCCCTGCCGCTAACCTCCCATATGTGTCTTCTCGCCCTGCTTGTGGCGTTAACGACTTCTCATCCGTTCTTCTCTCTTTCGTCCTTGTCTCCTCCTTATCCATCCCCTCCGTTCCCCACCCCTCCCTTAACTTCTGTCGCTTCCCCCACCGCCAGTGATATCAACGGCCTCACTCACGAGACCCTTCGGTAGCAGTACCACCTGGTATGTCGGCCCCTGCCATAGCCTGCTGATGCCCACCTCAATTCCCCCCATCCCCCACTCCTCCCCCGTTGTCCGTCCCCTCCCCTCCCTTGTGTGTCTCCTCCCCCACCGCCAGTGATATCAACGACCTTACTCATGAGACCCTTCGCCAGCAGTACCACCTGGTATGTTGGCACTTGCCATGGCCGCCCAGCCCCATTGCCCCTCCTCTTTCCGCCCCTGTTCCCCCGCTTCCCCCTCTTCCGCTGTTGCCCTGGTGTGGTGTGGTGTGGTGTGGTGTGGTGTGGTGTGTGAGTGCATGGTCTTCAGTGATGTGAATGACCTCACTCAGGAGACGCTCTGCAAGCAATACCTTGTGGTGGGCTTTTCTTTTCTTCACACGCAGTTGCACACCCATGCGCACACACACACATGCATACTCGCACACACATGGACACACACACACGCGCGTGTGCACGCACACTTTTAGCACACACACAATCACACTTTTAGCACACACACAATCACACTTTTAGCACACACACAATCACACTTTTAGCACACACACAATCACACTTTTAGCACACACACAATCACACTTTTAGCACACACACAATCACACTTTTAGCACACACACAATCACACTTTTAGCACACACACAATCACACTTTTAGCACACACACAATCACACTTTTAGCACACACACAATCACACTTTTAGCACACACACAATCACACTTTTAGCACACACACAATCACACTTTTAGCACACACACAATCACACTTTTAGCACACACACAATCACACTTTTAGCACACACACAATCACACTTTTAGCACACACACAATCACACTTTTAGCACACACACAATCACACTTTTAGCACACACACAATCACACTTTTAGCACACACACAATCACACTTTTAGCACACACACAATCACACTTTTAGCACACACACAATCACACTTTTAGCACACACACAATCACACTTTTAGCACACACACAATCACACTTTTAGCACACACACAATCACACTTTTAGCACACACACAATCACACTTTTAGCACACACACAATCACACTTTTAGCACACACACAATCACACTTTTAGCACACACACAATCACACTTTTAGCACACACACAATCACACTTTTAGCACACACACAATCACACTTTTAGCACACACACAATCACACTTTTAGCACACACACAATCACACTTTTAGCACACACACAATCACACTTTTAGCACACACACAATCACACTTTTAGCACACACACAATCACACTTTCAGCACACACACAATCACACTGTCAACCACCACTGCTCGTCCCCTTAGTTGTGTCGCGGGCGTTTTGGGACTTGACTGCTCCTCGGTGATTGTCGTTTGCCCTTGCCTTGTTTAGCCTGCACCAGGTCAAGGAGCGCACATCCAATCCAACCACGGTACGTATGTGCCGGCTCGCACATGATGCTGTTTTTGGGAGAAGGCCCTCGGCTCTTACCCTCCTCCCTTAACATCTGTACCCGGTTTCCCTGCCCTGCCGTGCTACTGCTGCCAGTAAATAACGCCCATCCAACCATGGGACATATGACGCTGGCACGCACGTGATGCTGTTTCAGACTGTCTATTCTTTCCTTTCTCACCCTGCCCTCTCTTGAAAAAGTAGGTCAAGGAACGTATATCCAACCACGGGACATACGATGCTGGCTCGCACATGATGCTGTTCAGGGAAGGCCCTCGGCTCCGATCATCTATACCCCGTTGCCTTGTGTTATATGTCCCCGCCCCTCCAGGTGAAAGAGTGCACATCCAACCACGGGACATACGATGCCGTCTCGCATGTGATGCTGTATGGGGAGAAGGCCCTCGTCTCTGACCTTCCTCGTTACCCCTTCGTTACCTCATTGCCCTGCCTTGTCGCACCCTGCTGAGCTTCCCTCACCAGGTGAAGGAGCGCACATCCGACCACGGGACATACGAAGCGAGCTGGCACGTGATGCTGTTAAGGCCCTGAGCTCTTACCCCTCCTCCCTTATCCCGTGTACCTCAATGCCTTGCATTGCTGTGCCCATCGGGTGAAGGAATGCACATCCAACCACAGCACGTATGACGCTGGCTTGCACGTGATGCTGTACGGGGAGAAGGCCCTCAGCACCGACCCTCGTCCCTCCTCCCTGACCTTTTGTACCTCATTGCCCTGCCCTCTTGCACCCTTCTGCACTGCCCCCGCCAGGTGAAGGAGCATACATTTAACCACGGCACGTATGTCGCTGGCTCGCACGTAATGCTGTACGGGGAGAAGGCCCTCGGCACCGACCCTGTTTCCGACTTCCAGTTGCTATTTCCCCTCACCTTTCTCCCCCGGCCCCTGCCTCCTTCAGGTGAAAGAGCGCACATCCAACCACGGCACATACGATGCCGGCTCGCACGTGATGCTGTTCGGGGAGAAGGCCCTTGGCACCGACACCTCTCCCCTGACCCTCTCTTTCCCTCATTGCCCTGCCTTGTTGCGCCCTGCTCTGGTACCCCCACCAGGTCAAGGAGCGCACATCCAACCATGGCACATACGACGCCGGCTCGCATGTGATGCTGTTCGGGGAGAAGGCCCTCGGCACCGACCCTGTCTCAGACTTCCTGGGTGATGCGTCCCTGGCTCCTGAATCCGGTGCTAATAGCGAGGATGCTTATAACGAGGATGCGGGCATGACCCCGTGGGTGCCGTTTACTTTGACTGCGCTGCTGGGCGGGGGCTTTGGCAGGGGCAAGGGGAGGGGCAGGGGTGCGGTGCTGTCGGCGGGGCAGAGGATGTTTGCTGCAGGGGAAGCGGTTGGCGTGGTGGGGCAGCGTGATGCAGAGGTGCTGCACCTGTGGCACAAGGTGGGTCTCGCACTTTTTTCTTGACTTGCTCGCTGAGTTATTCCTCCATGCATTCACTCACTCGCCTCACGCACGATGCGGAGGTGCTGCACCTGTGGCACAAGGTGGGGCTCCCTCTTTCCCTCTCCTCACTCACGCACTTCCCCTCCCTCCCTCCCTCCCTCCCTCCCTCCCTCCCTCCCTCCCTCCCTCCCTCCCTCCCTCCCTCCTCCCTCCCTCCCTCCCTCCCTCCCTCCCTCCCTCCCTCCCTCCCTCCCTCCCTCACTCTCTCCGTCCCTCCTTCCCTCCCTCTCTCTATCCCTCCCTCCCGACCTCACCTCCTGCCGTTTTTCTTCTATCCCTCCTCCTGTCCTTTAGTATACGGGCGGTCATCGCTGCCTGCTTGCATATCGAGTCTTTCGGGACGTTCTTATACTGAAGGCCAAGCGGAATGGCATGGGGGGTACAACAGGGCGAAGAGTCATGACCCTAAACCCTTACCCACCGCAGCATGATTCTCGCCCTCTTGAACCCCCCATGCCCTTCCATTCCCCTCGCCATTCAGTGTAAAAAAGTCTCCAAAGGACTCGCTATGCTAGAAGGCAGCAATGACCACCCTCAACGAGACCTTTGCCCACCCCCCCTTAAATAAGCCTTTTTTTTTCCCTCTCAAACCCCCCATGTCCCTCCCTACGCCCTCATACGCCCCTGACACTATGTCCCCATGCCCCCTTGCTCGCCCTTCAGTATAAGAACGCTCCGGAGGACTCACCGCGCAAGCAGGCAGCCATGGCAACCCTCAGCGAGGCCACTAGCCACCACCCATATGAACAAGCCTGCCTCTACTCATATCCCCCTGTCTCCATGCCCCCTCGCTCGCCCTTCAGTATAAGAACGCTCCGGAGGACTCACCACGCAAGCAGGCAGCCATGGCCGCCCTGAGCGAGACGTTCACCCACCGCCGCCACGTGGACCAATCGGTGCGCGCCACGGTGGCTGCAGCAGTGGGTGAGGGGCATGTGGAGGCGATGCTGCAGGGGAAGCAGGCAGAGGGGAAGGCTCTTGTGGACGACTGGATGTGCCTCAGGGGGATGGTGAGTGGGGGATGTGTTGTCAAAGGCACTTCAATGGTGAGTGGAGGATGGGGTGACTAAGTCATAGGCAATCAAGAGATCGTCTCGACACTCGAGGGCGTGTGGAGGCGATGCTGGAAGGGAGGCAGGCGGAGGGGAAGGCGCTGGTGGGTGACTGGATGTTCCTGCCTGCGAGGGATGGTGAGTGGTGGGGCGGGTGATTGGACTAAAGGGTTGAATCGTAGGCAACGATAGGCGATGCTGATGCACACCCTCTTTGGGCTCTCACCACACACACTCCCTCTTTCTCTATGCTTCCCTCTTACTCTTCCACTCCTTTCCTGGTGCGGGCCTATGAGGTGAGCTGTGGGAACAGAATGCACTACTGCATGGCACATGGTATTGAACCCCCGGAGGCTGGACCCGGATTCAGTTACGCAACTTTCTTTCTTTCTCTGTGCTACACTCTTGTTTTTCCCATCCATTCAGGTGCGAGCGTACGAGGCGAGCTGCGGGCGCATAACGCAGTACGGTATGAAGCACATGCGTGCATTCGCCAACCTCTGCAATGCAGCTGTGCCTGTTCACACTGTTGCTGCTGCAGCCCAGGAGGCATGCCCTGCTGCTGCCAATGCTGTTCCCGCAGGCCTGCTCATTGCTCCTGGAGGTTTCTCGGTGTAATCTCTGGATGGATTTTTGTGATCTCAGCTGTGCGCGGAGAGTATTTGGTTGGAGAGTGGGACTGTGGTCCGTTGACAAGTGATGGGTTACACGGGGGTTGGTTTTTGTGTCACTACACTGTTTCTAGTGTCATTGTAAATAGCAAGGTTGTTTGCATGCTTGACTGTTGCACGCTTCTTAGAAGTGTGCTTTGGAGCTGGGTGGATAATCCATTCACTGGTAAGGTAGATCTGAGGTCGTTCCATGCGGTTCTGGTGCTTGTGGAATTAATGTGATGTGAGCATGTTCTTAGTCTAGTAACTAGTTCCTTTACTGTTATCCATTTTGGAGCTGAGGAGGACATTGTACACTGCTGCTCTCTGTGATTGCATCGACTTTTGATCTGACACAACGTTCGCCAAAATTCGCGCCAAAAGCCGCGTTTCGGAAGATCACAACCGCTCATCTCAAATTCGGCCCGTTCAGAACCTCACCATCTCTCACCAAGATGATCTCACTGTGGGTTGAATCGAAAGCTTTGTGCCATTCTAAAAATGCTGGTTATCGCAATTTACCGTTCAGTGACACCTCTGATCAGAGGTGCTGGATTTTCGGCGTGACGGCGTGATTCACGGACAAGGTGTGGGTTCGCCTTTCTCAGGCTCACATTGCTGAGACTAGGACTAGGAGCGTTAGCTACCCCGAATCTAAGTTATTGGTTCTGTTGCCGAAGTCGACGAAAGCGTCGTCGCAAAGTTTTTGTCCAATCGTTCAGTTACAAAGCAGCAGGAGTGTCGTGCGAGGGCGTGGTTACAGGAGCAATGGCGTGGCCGATCTACCTCTATCTTCCCAACATCGTCGGTCAGTGGCTACTCCGTGTTCTAGGTTCGCGGTACATTAGTGCAAATTCAAACCGATGCTCGGAAGCATGCTGGTTGGTTTTCGCGAAACCCGAGCTCTTAGAAACTATGGCAATGGTGACTTCAGGGTTAGCCTTCTCTCGTTGTGTTGGCCTTCTCAGCGCCAGTTACTATGTGGCCTAGCATGAACGTTTCGAGAGTTTCAGTTAGTGACATTCAGAGACCCATCGATCAGGCGTCGCGCTTTTGATTAGCAACAGCCCGCAATTCTCGTTTTCGACGTCATCTACCTCAACACACGCCAATCAGATTCGTTACCATAGGTGTTTGCGGCGGACATTTCTTTTGCGAATGCTTGTCATGTTACAGGGTACTTTCGCATCCTGGCGAACGTATGGGCCTTCGCCATCGCTCTGTCTGATCCCCGCCTCTTTGTCGCTCTTTACTTCTTCAGGTGAATTCTCTTCCAAATTACATGCTCATGTGATCCTCTTTACGGATGAACTTACTCTCAGATAACCTTATCTACTTCTACTTATCTCCTCTTAGCGAATATTCCCCTCAAACTTGCTTTCCATGCCATGTTCAACTCGTCCAAACATAGTGAATCAGCTTGAATCTCAACCTGCTCTTAAGTCTGCACCTCATGCACTGGATACATGGCATTTGTCACACTCTTCCAGGCACTGATTTCTGTTATGACCTGTTGCCTATACGTCCTCGCTTTTCCCTTGCCTCCTTCCTCCCAATATCTCATATTCCCGTTTCCTTTTCCGTAAAGCTTCTTCTGTGATTACGTGGACGGACGTTTTGCCACGTGGTTCAATCAGAGTGAGTCAATGCATTCCTCGTATAACTCATGTCCCCACTATCCCATGCTTCCATCTCCCCGTCAATATTCTCCCGTGCCTTCGAATTCTCCAACAGCCTTCCCCCCCGGTGTATGTATCTACTCTCGTACTCGTGTATCCTTGCTCATCCGCTTTTCCTGTCCCTTCCTGCTTCGCACTTCTGGTCAACTTGCCTCTCACCATCATGGTATTGATCCATCATGGTGACTTTTGAGTCAGCTCAAAAGTCATTGATCCATCATGCTTTCACACCACCATAACATTGCACCATCCAATCATACCATCACTCAGTTTTAATACCACGCCATCATGCCACCATATACATCCCTTCCATCGCCCCTCTCCCCAGAGTCAACATTCGGCGCTGTTTTGGACATGGTAACGGACAGGTGCGTGCCTTTTTTTAGGCTTCCAGCATAACGCGTTTGCTTGTACCGAGGATTTCTGGGTCAGGCGCCTCCCTGCCTCTCCACTGATGCACCTTGCCTTGACGCCTTTAAACAGCTCACGCCCTGTCCTCTCACGCTCCATCCGCCCTGTCCTCTCACGCTCCATCCGCCCTGTCCTCTCACGCTCCATCCGCCCTGTCCTCTCACGCTCCATCCGCCCTGTCCTCTCACACTCCATCCGCCCTGTCCTCTCACGCTCCATCCGCCCTGTCCTCTCACGCTCCATCCGCCCTGTCCTCTCACGCTCCATCCGCCCTGTCCTCTCACGCTCCATCCGTCCTGCTTCGTACTCAACTTTTCATGTGCCTCCATGCTCCGTGTGACTCCAGTAGTCGTTTTGCCTTTACCCCTCTCTGCGCGTCCCTCTTTCCGTCTGCCTCTCCGCCCGCCTCTTCTTCCTCCTCTCATCCCTCCTCTCCTTCCTCCTCTCTTCCCTCCACTCCACCCTCGCCTCCTCTCCGTTCTCCCTTGTCTCCTCTCTCCTTTCTCCCTTCTCTCCTTTCTCCTTTCCTCCCTTCGCTCCTCGCTGTCTGTGTCTCAGGATGAGCACCACCTGCTTGCTCCTCGTGCTCTCCCACCTTTACCCGTGAGTCGCCACAATCTCCACACCACACCACACCACACCACACCACGCCACACCACACCACACCACGCCACACCACATCACATGCATCATTCGTACCCACCACTGGTGTCTTCTCTTCGATCTCTTTTAAATTCACCACCCGATTCATCCCATGTGTTGCTCGCAGAATCAGCCTTTACGCTGCCTCTTCACTGCACTCAATCTTTTCTCACTCTGTCTCTCCGGATCTGTGCTCTCCTCTACCATGCCTGAACCACCCCCCACCCGTGCATCACCCTCCAATTACCCTCCCTTCACCCCCTCGCAGGTCGCTCATGGGTGCATGCATGGCGCTGCTGGTGCTGGACTTGACAAGCCACTGGTACCAGATGTACAGGTGGGCACTCACGCATGGGGTACATGAGAGACATGAGGCATGCATGAGTGTGTTGAGAGGCAGGCAGGCACACATGATGCATCATCCAACTTTAGCACCCACCGCCTGGCACCAATCTACAAAAGTTGTGAATCTTTCGTCCCTACCACTTTTCCACTCTTCCTCCCTGTCCCCCATCAGCTCATCTTTAGTGCCCAAGGCCAGCCACAAGGACGTGGAATCCGAATGTGGCTCATTTTCCATTCCATGACGCTGCAGGGTGTTTTTTCGAATTCTCAAAAACACCCTGCAGCATTTTTAGTGCCCAAGGCCATCCACATGGAAGTGGAATCCGAATGTGACTCATGTTTTACCCCCGCCTTCACTGCCTGCCTTTCCTCCCCCTCACCCGTCCTCCCCCTCCCATCAGTTCCTTCCTAGTGCGCAAGGCAAGTCACAAGGACGTGGCAGCAACGGACTTTTGGCTCATGCGCTGGTACTATGGCAGCCGCCCCTTCATGGCCTACTGCTGCATCGGCGCTGAGGTGAGGTTTGGTGCTTCATGGGGTATGTTTCCATGCTTGTGTGCTTCGTGCACTCAATGGCCTCGAGCCTCGGCTCATGCGCTGGTACTATGGCAGCCGCCCCTTCATGGCCTACTGCTGCATCGGCGCTGAGGTGAGGTTTGGTGCTTCATGGGGTATGTTTCCATGCTTGTGTGCTTCGTGCACTCAATGGCCTCGAGCCTCGGCTCATGCGCTGGTACTATGGCAGCCGCCCCTTCATGGCCTACTGCTGCATTGGCGCTGAGGTGAGCGGGCAGTTCTGTGTGGCTGCATGGTGGTGGCACGTGCGTGTGGCTGCATGGTAGTCTCGCTGCTGCCGCATGCTCTGGCACTATGGCAGCCAGCCCTTCATGGTCTACTGCTGCAACAGCACTGAGGTAAGAGCGTGTGCATTATGGGTTACTTACGTGCCTAGCATGTGTAAGGGCATGTGTCCGTCCAGGCTTGTGTGCGTCATGCAATGGTCTCCAAGGCACGGCTCATGCGCTGGTACTACTATTGCAGCCGCCCCTACATGGCCTACTGCTGCGTTGGCGCTTAAGGAACGGCGTGAGCAGTGATGGCTGTATGGTTGTCGCCCGCAGTATGTGCCACAAAAGTTACAGTCGACTCAATAGTGCTCGCTGCATGGGAGTGCCAGAGTGACATGATGTACCAGTGTGAAACAAACCTCCACATATGATGTACCTCTCTCGTGTGAGCCCCTGTACTCTATAATCTGCCTGCATCTGTTCCCGTGCCTATCTGCGCTGTGTCCTCTGTCTGTGCGCGCAGCTGCTGTACCGTGTGCTATTCTTGCATCCATTCCCATGCTATCCTCTCTGCCCGGTGCTCTCTCTCTCTCTGCAGTTGCTGTACCTCGTGCTCTATCTCGACTCAGACCCACTCAACCAACAAGTGCAGGTATGTCGTGTGGCATTCGGCCATGCCATTCCCGCGTGTCATTCCTGCGTGTCATTCCCGCGTGTCATTCCCGCGTGTCATTCCCGCGTGTCATTCCCGCGTGTCATTCCCGCGTGTCATTCCCGCGTGTCATTCCCGCGTGTCATTCCCGCGTGTCATTCCTGCGTGTCATTCCCGCGTGTCATTCCCGCGTGTCATCCCCGCGTGTCAATCCCGCGTGTCATCCCCGCGTGTCATTCCCGCGTGTCATTCCCGCGTGTCATTCCTGCGTGTCATTCCCGCGTGTCATTCCCGCGTGTCATCCCCGCGTGTCAATCCCGCGTGTCATCCCCGCGTGTCATTCCCGCGTGTCATTCCCGCGTGTCATTCCCGCGTGTCATTCCCGCGTGTCATTCCCGCGTGTCATTCCCGCGTGTCATTCCCTCGTTGCATTCCCTCGTTCCACTCCTTCATTGCATTCCCTCGTTGCATTCACTATTGCATACCCCTTTGCACCACCTCCTCAGCACCTTCCCGCCCTTTTCCTACTCACAGATCCCTGTGCTGCGCCTATTCCCACACAGCTATACCGCCTCTCAGCACCCCTTTGGCCTGTCCTGTCCCGTCCTGATGTGTGACCCCTTCCTTCTCTCCCCCCTACAACTCCACAGGTTTCCCTGCCTTACCTCGGCCCCACGGGGGTCATTAGAACCCTTGGCCTGCTGTGCCTCCCTGGTTGGGCGCTCAAGCAAATCACTAATGTTGTTCAGGTGAGGAGGGGTTGGGGGAGGTGAATAAGAGGGGGAGGGAGGTGAAGGTGAGATGACGAGCAAGTGTATCGAGTCATTCGAGCCCTTGGCCCGCTGTGCCTCCGTGCATGGGCGCTCAAGCAGGTCACCAACGCTGGGAGGTAAGAGGGGGAGGGATGTGAGCGGGTGAGATGACGAGCTGTGTTTTCCCAGATGGGCGCTCAAGCAGATCACCAATGTGGTGCAAGTGATTGGAGATTTGCTAACAGGGAGGCGGGTGGGTGTGACTGTGTTAAGCAAGTAGGTGGTGTGGAGGGCGCACTGGGGTGCATGTGGGACTGTGCATGCCAGCTGAGCCCTAGCCTGCTGTGCCTCCTTGGTTGTGCGTTCAAGCAAATCAACAACGTGGTGCAGGTGAGAGGGCAGGAAGGGGGGTGGGATGGGTGAGGGAGCGACGGGGGAATGGTGGGGAAAGTGGTTGCATGAAGGGCAAGCGGGAGGGAAGTATATAGAGGGCGCTTTTAAAGTGTATGCGTTGCATGGAGCAATCTCCTTCTGTCTGTATGCATCGTGTATGATGAAGAATTGTTGTATGCCAATAAACTCTTTTCTTTGTTTCGTGTCTATTTCGTTTCCCACCAGCTAAAAACGGCGGCCGATGCATGTGTGGAGTACGATATGGAGAAGACGCGGAAAGCCTCATAACAATCGATGGAAAACAATTCACGATGGTGTATGCCACCGTTGTAGCCCGCTTCAGACACCACTGTACCGTAATAACGTTGTACTACCAGTTCTGGAAGAGGTGCCATGTGGCTTTTGCAGTGACAAGTACTGACCGAAAACAATGTGAGTAACAAAAATTATAAGTTTCCTTTGGACACCCTGTGGTACTCGTTGCTGAAGATAGCCATTATTACACGTCATAGCAAAAACGACTGCTTGATGTAAACGACTCTGAAGATCAATGTAGCTAGTAGAGGGAGCAGATATTTCCCAACCAACCATATCACTTGGTTGGATGCTAGAAGATCCCAAGTATAGGATGGATCGGGAATACAGAACACTTGTTTTTTTTTTTTCATTATGGGATATGCCATATTGTCCTGCATTTTTTAAACATGCTCCAAGTTATTGTTCTTCCAGCGTAAGCCCATTTGCTATGTCATTTACTTGTAGCATTTGTATTTCATACACATGTAGAGCAGCAGATTGCATCCGGTACACTTCTGACTGTGTTGCGAACATGGTTGGTTCCCGCGATCCCGACCTACAGATAGGTGTTTGTCACATTCAATATTATCACATTGGGTCGATCCCCCATCGCTATTCGCACGCGACTCGCATGCGCGGGTCGAAATATCATTTCACTTGGAATGTCGTCGTTTGGCGGCGAACGAAATTCGCCCCCTTTTGACGCACACAAACCTACCCTTCCCCTTGGATCCCGTCTCCCATACCATCTCCCATCCATCCCCCATCCATCTCACCCATGTCGTGCTCGTCAGTTCCTCCTGCAGGTCGGGCAAATGAAGGCATGCCAGCGTTCGTGAAACATGTTCAAAACAAGGGTGACCTGGCCTGCCCACTGCTACCCATCTGTTTTGCCAGAATCAAATTACGGCATACGGAGACATCGCAGCGCTTTGTTGCTGGTCACTGCTGGACTTCGCTCCAGCCGCCAACGCCCAGCCCTGGGTTTGACGTAGCGCCTCGAATCCTGGCCCGAGCCGACTTTAGTCTGCCCCCACCCAACTTGCTTTCCCAACAACCGCAACCGGTCGAGGACGAACGGCCAGCCCAGCCCTTGGTTCGTGTAGTTGTGACTCTAGTGCGTTGCGTGTCGCGTCGCGGGACGTGGTTCCGCATGGCTGCAGCACTCGTGCCCGCCCGCTATTCTGGATTGGTGCACTTGTGGTGGTGGCTGGTTGTTGGATCGCACAGGAAAAGTAGTTTCGTCTATGCAGCCGAGCCGAGGCTTTCACAGGTCTTGCGTCCCACCGTCCGAATCTGGTAGCCTAGCTCCTTAGGAACCACTTCCTTCCACCTCTCCTTCGTCCATCCCAGCCGTCCTTGGCCATTGATAAGTGTGTGAGCCATTTGAGACGTCTCAAAAGCTGTGATAAGTAGCTCCGGTCTCATACTCTCCGTTCACTTACTCTCCTCGTGCTTCGATAGCCCGATATCCTGCCCCAGCGGTCAAACCATCTTACCGTTGTTCCCTCGCAAGTGTGGGCCTCGCATCTAGACCAAACACGCTGATTCGCCGTTCGATTGCCTCTCGTATTCCTCTTCCATGTCGCGTTCGAGGTGATATCACCGACCGTGCTGCCACACTCAATTCCTTCGACTAACTGTGACTCTAACGGTACTCGCTCACACCAACGAGCAGCGCGGCTTCTCCCGAGAACCCCTCGCGCTCGATATACCGCAAGCGGCGAGGCTACCCACCCGCCGAGTTGACTTCTCAAGTCGACTCAAAAGCCAACCCCTCGCGCTCGATATACCGCAAGCGGCGAGGCTACCCACCCGCCGAGTTGACTTCTCAAGTCGACTCAAAAGCCAACCCCTCGCGCTCGATATACCGCAAGCGGCGAGGCCACTCACCAGCCCCTTCAGCGACGACGACTTGCGGCTCGCAGCTACCGGAAAACTCACACAGAGGCACTGAACCCTGTGGGCTTCGACGTTCTTGATTTCCAAAAGACTAGTTGTCTCAGATGGGGAGGCATGGCAGTAGTCGACAACTTGGCTGGCGCGAGGAGCAAATCGCTTGTGGTCTCGTCTTGGCGGCTGTACTCTTCTCCTTAGGTGCGTTTGGTCGAATCGGCGGTGTTCCCGCTGTCTTCATGGTGTTTCGTTCTCATCAGGTGCGTCTATCAATGAGCTTTTGAAACATGGCGCGCATGGCACGCAGGGTGCATCCCGGGCATATAACTCATTGCATGCACGAATGTTGCTGCGCATTTTTCAACTAATAACGCGCTCAATTCCCTGCAGATCCGTCCTCTACGACCCCGCATTTCAGCATAATCGCGTTTGATTTTATGATCTCTTCATTTTTCCCAACCATCGCAGGCGTCGCAGCAGCAGCGCCAGGCGAGGGCAAGGGCCTGTATCTCGTGCACATGACGTCAGCGCCGCCGGTTGTCGCATACCGCGGAGGGATCGCGGGACTCTCGGCGACGGCGGTGGCGGAGGAAGACGAGCCTTCCCCTGGCCGGACGTACCGTGGGAGCGCGGGGGTCATGGGGGAGCGGGCGCGCGCGGGGAAGGGTCCGCGGCAGCTGCGGCCGCGCGCGGACGATCCGCATGTGCGCGCGTACGCGCAGCACCTGACGTCGCTGCACGAAAGGACCCTCACTTCTGTCGGTGTCGCGTCCACCAGTATGGTGTACAGGTATGACGTGGCATATGCACATGATGACATGACATGTGTACCTTATGACGTGGCATGCCAGATGCGCCGTTGTTATGGAAGGATGTCGAGACACGCTGCACACATATGACGTGCCATGGCATCCAAGCATCGTCGTTCCTCCTCTTCCCCTCTTTCCGCGCCTCATTTCGCAAGTGCTCTCGTTTCCCTCGTCCTGTTACTCCCCCGTCATTCCCCCGTCACTCCCCCCCACCTTCCCCCTCCCAGCTACAACTTCGCCGCCAACTCCTTCTGCGCGGAACTCACCCCCACGGAGGCGCAGCAGCTGCGCGCGCGCCCGGACGTGGGGCGCGTGGCGCGCGGGCGCAAGGTGCGCGCGCTGACCACGTACTCCCCGCGCTTCCTGAAGCTGGGCGCGCCGAAGGGCGCGTGGGAGGCGAACGGGGGGAAGATGAGCGCGGGGGAGGGCGTGGTGGTGGGGATTCTCGACACGGGCATTTGGCCCGAACATCCGTCGTTCGCAAATCAGGTACGGGGACGAATATACTGGAAAACGAGGTTTCTCGGAGGCGAACGGGGGGAAGATGAGCGCGGGGGACGCGAACGGGGGGAAGATGAGCGCGGGGGACGCGAACGGGGGGAAGATGAGCGCGGGGGAGGGCGTGGTAGTGGGGATTCTCGACACGGGCATTTGGCCCGAACACCCTTCCTTCGCGAATCAGGTATGGGTGCGATTTGTGCGGAATGAAAAGATAAAACAGTGTGGGTCAATCTTCCAGGTGCCTCATAAACAGACCGTCCCTTTCCTGAACTACCTCCTTCCCTCCACACAGGGTTATGTCCCCCGCCCAAGCACTGGAAGGGCGCGTGTACGGGGCTGAAGAAGTGCAACGGCAAGATCGTGGGTCTATCATCTAGATGCCTCACTAACAGAACCCTCCCTCCCTTTCCTGATCCCCCTCCTCTCCCCCTTCACAGGGCTATGGTCCCCCGCCCAAGCACTGGAAGGGCGCGTGCACGGGGCTCAAGAAGTGCAACGGCAAGATCGTGGGCGCGCGCTACTTCCTCTCCTTCCTCTCCGCACCCTGACCCACTCTCATGAGCTCTTAACCCTCTCGTCCCCTTTCACAGGGCTACGGGCCCCCTCCTAAGCACTGGAAGGGCGCGTGCACGGGGCTGAAGAAGTGCAACGGCAAGATCGTGGGCGCGCGCTACTTCCTCTCCGCGTACGAGCGCGAGTACGGCAAGATCGCGCCTGGGGAGTACCGCTCTGTGCGGGACGCTGGCGGCCACGGCACTTGGTGTGCGGGGTGAGTTATTTGGGGGGCACGGGGGAGGGGGAAGAAGGGGGACGGGAAGGGAGAGGGGGGACGTAATCCTCTCTTGAGGCCGTGAGTTAGTCAGGGAGGTGGTTATTGGGGAAGGTGGTTGGTCTGAAGGTGGTGGGCAGTGCACGCTACTTCCTCTCCGCGTACGAGCGCGAGTACGGCAAGATTGCTCCCGGAGAGTACCGCTCTGCAAGGGATGCTGGCGGTCATGGCACGTGGTGTGCGTGGTACGTGCTATGGGGGTACGGGGGTTGTGGGGGATGGAAAGAACGAGGATGGGACGTAATTGTTTAGTCTTATCACACCCTTTCCGCTCCCTCCCCGCTCCCTCCCCGCTCCCTCCCCGCTCCCTCCCCGCTCCCTCCCCGCTCACACCCTTTCCCCCTCCCCCTTCCCCCATTGCTCAGAGCGGCGGTGGGCAACAGCGGGGTGGTGCTCACACCCTTCACTTCATCCTGCCCCCTCCCAGCTCACACCCCTTCCCCCTCCCCCTCCCCCTACCCCTTCCCCCTCCCCCTACCCCTTCCCCCTCCCCCTACCCCTTCCCCCGCGCACAGAGCGGCGGTGGGCAACGGCGGGGTGGTGCTCACAGAGCGGGACGGCACGCCCATCGGGACAGCCAGTGGCATGGCGCCACGTGCCAGGCTGGCGGTGTACAAGGCGCTTTGGTACAACGCGTCAGATGGGTACGGCCACGACTGCGACATCTTTGCAGCCGTTGATCAGGCCGTCGCGGACGGTGTGGATGTGCTCTCCATGAGCATTGGGTCCGGCGAAGACACCTACTTTGGTGACCTGCCGCTACTGCGTGCAGCAGAGGTAAGGGCGAAACTGATACACTCTTAATCTGACGCCCTCAAACTGATATACTCTTAATCAAACGAGAGGATAGCAGAGACAACAAAGCTTGTGCCCAACCGCTCCTGAGAGCAGCAGAGGTAAGGGCGAAACCGAGACACTCTCAATCTGACAATGAGAGGATAGCAGAGATAACAAAGCTTGTGCCCAAACGTTGTCCCTTTTATTCTTCCTTTTCTTTTGTTGTTTCTTCCCGGCAGGCTGGTGTATTCATTACCCTAGCGGCGGGTAATGCGGGGCTGCCGGGTATGGGCGGCACGTACCGCACCATCAGCAACACGTCGCCCTTCTATCTCACCGTCGCCGCCAGCACCACCGACCACGACGCCGCCATGCTTTACGACTCGTCCACCGCCGCTACAGCCACTGCTACAGCCGCCGCCGCTACAGCCGCTGCTACAGCCGCCGCTACGGCCGCCGCTTACGGAAAAAACTCGTCGTATGTGGCAGAGGGTGCATCAGCAGCAGCCGGTAAACGCGGATTCGTCTCCCATGCCTCGCGGCCCGGGATCCTTCAGGCCGTTTACGAGGCGCCGGTGATCGCGCCGTTTTCCTCGGCGGGACCGCCGCTGAACCCCGCGCGGCCGCCGCCAGCCACGCTGCAAGTAACTAACGATATTCTTAAACCGGATGTTACTGGACCGGGTATGGATCTAGTAGCTGCTGCTCCCGGCGGGACTTCTAAAGACGCGTGGTACAATATGAAAAGCGGCACCTCGATGTCTACTCCGCAATTGGCGGGAATCGCGGCGCTGGTGATTCAAAAATATCCCAACTGGCGACCCGCGGCGATAAAATCGGCGATAATGACGACAGCGTATAAAATGAACAACCGCGGAGGAGTAATTCGCACGTTTGACGGAACTACTGCGACGCCATGGAATTACGGATCTGGGCATGTGAATACTACGGCGATGCTTGATCCTGGGCTGGTTTACGACGTCGGGCGAAAGGGTTACTTCAACTTCCTCGCCGGTGTGAACATGGCTGCTGCGAACAAGGCGTTTCCGGCGAAGAAGCTGTCGCCGATCAAGCCATGGAGTTTGAACCAGCCGAACATTTGCGTTTCGCGACTGTCGAGCGTGGTTACCGTCACTCGCACCGTCAAGAGTGTCACGGCGAAGGCGCAAACCTACCAAGTGCAGGTTCGCATGCCTGCGAATGTGGACGTCCAGGTTACACCAAAGCAGTTCACGATTTTGCCGAAGCAAACTGTTACATTCCAGGTGAAGCTGACTCCAAAGAAAAATACAAATCAGTTTTCATTTGGAGAACTGGTATGGTCAGATGGTAAGCATAGAGTAAAGTCAGTCTTAGCAGTACAGCCCATGGCTGCATTGTAAAGTTGGCATTGCAAAGCTTTCTCGCAACACCTTGTTGCAAGCATTTGTTGCAAATAAAGAGTGAATACCATTAAATACTTGAGATGTATATCCAAGCAATAAAGTTTAGTGGTTGTAAGAGCCTACAACAGGAAGTGAGAAGAACATACCCCCTGCTGTACAGTCTTGCAGCTACTCACAGCATTCACACACATTCCCACACCGATACAGAAATGGAGCTCCTGGCCATTCCACCATATGCTCCCAAAGCACTGAGTAACCCCACATAACTGTCAAAATGAGGAATGGATGATGCATTGATGTTGGTTGGGGTACATATAGCTAACCCTAAGTTTTGTACCCCCTAAGACAAACCTCACTATAGGCTACAACATTTGACACACCCCCTCAGCCTAAGTGAGGGGTGTCTAGCAGAACCAAACGAGTACGGTCACAAGACCAGTCCAAGAAACGAAGCTCAGGGTGGATCACAACGTCACCACACAGTCTGAGCACAAACAACAGTGGCCACAAGGCCAGTCCAAGAAGTAACAGAGATATATAGAAAGCAAAGTAAACAGTACACTCAAGTCTAAGCAACACGAGAACCAGTGTCAACAAGGCCTAACTGCACACAGCACCTCTGGTGGTCACAAGGCGGAAGCGCCTTGGTGAAGATGTCTGCAGTGTTGGCCTCGGACTCCACAAACTCAAAGCGAGCCTGTCCACGCCTCTGCAACTCTCGCAGAAGAAAGTACCTGACGTGAATGTGCTTCACTCTGCTCTCCAGTCGTGGCTCTCGACAAAGGAGAATAGACGCCTTGTTGTCAGTGAACAAGGTCGGTGCAGAGCTTGGCCGCTCACCAAGGTCGGTGAGCAAGAAGGTCAACCAACGCAGCTCCTGTGCCGCCATGGCACCAGCGTAGATCTCAGCCTCAGCTGTAGAGGTCGAGACCGAAGAGGAGCGCGTGGACCGCCAGGAAACAGCTCCAGAACCCAGGCTGAAACAGTACCCCTGAGTAGACCTGTGAGTCTCAGCGTCGTCAGCGTAAGAGGAGTCACAGTGACCAGTAAGTACGACAGACTGCTGCCCTCCAAGAACTAGCCCCACGCCTGACGTCGTCGCTAGGTACTTCGCCACCCTCACAGCTGCTGTCCAGTGAACAGGACGGTGTCTCCCTGGCGCAACAAAGCGCGCAAGAACGCTGAGAGGGAAGGCGAGGTCCGGGCGAGTACAAGTCATCAGGTACATGAGGCAACCCACAAGCTCTGCGTAGGGACCACTAGGCTCGAACGGCTCGTCAGGAAAGGGTCCAGTGAGTCTGTGGTCAACAGCAAGAGGTGTGCGCTGTACTGTGGAGTGCTGAAGCCCGAACCGCTGAAGGACCTGCTGCACCATGTGCGACTGTGAAAGTGTAATGGTGCGAGCAGCTCTGTCCCTGGTGATCTGCAGGCCAAGGTAGTGGCGCAGCTCACCAAGATCAGTGCAGGTGTGTCTCTTCTGCAGTTCGGACTTCACGTGTGCCAAAGCAACCCTGTCAGGGGTGGCGAAAACAAGGTCGTCAACGTAGACCAGAACAAAGAAAGGTGTGGGGCCACGACGAACGAACAGCGACGGGTCAGCAGAAGACGGCTGGAACCCAAGGTCAGACAGGGTAGAACGCAGGGTGTCGTGCCACTCACGAGGAGCCTGACGAAGACCGTAAACTGGTCGCCTCAGCCTCCACTGGGTCCCAGGAGGGAAAGAGCCAGTGAAGGCAGAGGGACGACGCAACCAGACCTCCTCGTGAAGACTGCCCTGAAGGAAAGCAGTAGAGAAGTCGAGAGAGTGTAACTCGTAGTCTCTCTGTGCTGCTACGTGTAGTAACACCCGAAGAGTGGTCATCTTCGGGGTGGGCGCGAAGGTCTGAAAGAAGTCAACTCCCTCGCGCTGACTGAAACCTGGTCATAAGGTCTGAAAGAAGTCAACTCCCTCGCGCTGACTGAAACCTCTAGCCACGTAGCGTGCCTTGAAGACCGGAGGAGATCCCGGTGGCCGCTTCACCCTGTAGATCCACATGCCGTCGACTACGTTCGCCCCCGGAGGGGGAACCTCATCGACGTAGGTGCCTGTGGATCTGTAGGAGGCCATCTCTGCGTCCATGGCAGCTCTCCACTGAGAGGCCCAAGGCCCTGACACTGCCTCAGCGTAAGTGCGAGGAGTCGGAATGTCAAGGGCGTCGGGGTCACCCTCAGGGGCGAGGAGCATGGCACAGAGATGAGGGGAAGCGGCGGCCAGGAACTCTAGCTCAAACTGCCTGTCCTCTAGGGCGTCACAGCCAAGGGCAGACACACCCTCGACGGCCAGAGGACTGGAAGAAGGAGCAGCCACAAGAACGGTGGCGAAGTCAAGGCGGCGGGTAGAGGCAAAGTCAGTGACTGCGGCAGTAAGAGCGGACACAGAGGACACAGAGGCACGAGGGTGAGTAACAAGCGAGGCGAGAACACGAGAGAGAAGAGGACGGTACGTGCGGTAGTAGTCTGTGACAGGAGTAGGGAGCGACGCAGTGAGAGCCGACTCAGGAGGAGACGGAAGCACAGACGGAGACGGACGAGGTGGACTAGAACGAAGTAAGGCAGTACGAAGGTCAGTGAAGGGAACAGGAGACGAGGGACGAGCACGAGGGGAGCGACGAGAGGCCCAAGTCTGAGAAGAAGGAGGGGACAACGAAGACTGAGAACGAGGGAAAACAGCGGGAGAGGGGTCAGGAGGAGGAAGCGAAGGACCAGAGACGGGAGGAGAGGGGGAGGAGGAAGGAGAGGGAGAGGGGAGACCAAGGGTCCGAAGACCCGAGACAGGAGGAGGAGACGGCAGCTGCTGCTGCTGCGGCTGCTGCGGCTGCTGCTGCTCCAGCGGCTGCTGCCCCTGCTGCTGTCGCTCCTGCTCCTCGAGCCGCTGCAACTCTCTCTCCTCTCTCTCCAACTCCAGCTGCTCCTCACGAGCACGGCGAACACGAGCCTGGAACCTGGTCGGGTAGGGGTGGGGGGAAGGAGTAGTGTCCGGGGCAGCGGCAGCCCCAGAGTCGACCTCCGAAGCACCAAGCACACCACCCCCAGAGGCAGCACCAACACCAGCTCCAGACCCAGGCTCTCCAGAAACCGAAGGAACACCCTCACCCCCAGACGCAGCACCCCCAGACTCCGCACCAGCACCCCCAGACTCCGCACGACCAGTACCAGCCCCCGGAAGACAAGAGTCCTCTGCAACCCGCGGCTCAGCTCCAACTCCAGCACCCCCAGAACCAGAGACCTGTACAGGGACAGTCGCAGGACCAACCTCCCGAGAGGGAGCACCTGCAGGAGGCGGCGAGGAAGACTGTGGGGAGGGAGGCTGTACAGGGGGGGCTACCGAAGGGGGAGGGCTAGCCTGAGACACACCAGACGGGGCTGGACCAGGGGGGGGAGGCTGTACCGGGGGAGCAGGCGGGGGAGCGGCTGTCAGGAAGAGGGGGGGAGGAGGAACCGGGAGACCTCGACTGGGGTACCTGACGTAGTAGGGGGTGGACTCCTCGAAACGGACGTCACGGGAGTCAAAGAACCGGTGAGAGGGAGGGTGGTAAAAGGTGAAGTCAGAGGAGTCCTCAGGGAAACCAAGGAAGACACAAGAAACGGCGCGAGGCGAGAGCTTGTCCGCGGAGGTGTCGCGGACAAGAGCCAAGCACCCCCAGACACGAAACCTCGACGCGATACCAGGGGACCCTGTCCAAAGACTGGTCGGTGAAGCCTCCGGCCGAGAGACGCGTGGCCAGAGGTTCAGCTGGTGCGCGGCGTACCTGACTGCGTATGGCCACAGGAAATGGGGGGCACGGGCGTGAGTCAAGGAGGTGCGGGCAATCTCCATGACCAGGCCTATGCGACGCTCAGCAACCCCATTCTGCTGTGGGGACTCCGGAAGCGTCCAGGACTGACGAATGCCCTGTTCGCGACAGAATCCAGCGAGAATGCCGGAGCGAAACTCGCCCCCGCGGTCGGAGTGGAGACAGCTGACACGACGACCACGAGTGTCCTGGGTGGTAAGCAACCACCTGATCAGCGTAGAAGTCACCTCAGACTTCCTCGCCAGGGGGAACACTGTGGTATAGCGGGAGTAGTCGTCAACGACCACCAAAAAGAAACGCTCACGCTCAGGGCCAGGGCGAGGAGAGGGGCCCCAGACGTCCAAGTGCAGTGTCTCAAAAGGCTCGGTGGCCGGACGAAGGGAGGAGGAGTGAGGGGTGGCACGCAGCCTACCCTCGACGCAAGGACCGCACGGTGGTGCAAGGGACGGCGGCAGCGACGGCAAGACACGCGGGAGACCTAAGACCAGACGCTGACTAGACATAGCACGCAGACGTGGAAGAGAAGGGTGTCCCAGCCGGTGGTGCCACAGAACGGTGGGGTGGGCAAGCGACCGACAGGAGCAAGACGCAGCGACTGGACTGGACGCGACAACCTGAGAGGACGGAACCACCTGGTGAGACGCAGGGAGGAGACTAGGGGGAGGGACAGGAACTGGGAGGAGGGGCTGCTGTGACGGCGGCCGCTGTGGCTGCGGCTGCTGCTGCTGCTGCAGTCGCTGCTGAGCGCGCGGGCCAGTGTGAAGAGTGTAGAGACCGGAGCCCGGCTCAGCAGCAAAAGTGGCGAGGGGCTGGTAAGAGTCCCCGTCAACACACACCGCAGTCTCTCCAGAAGGCTCAAACCACACACCCACGTGCTGACTCACAAGGGGTCGCACGCCCACCAAGTTCCGGGAGAACGAGGGGACGTGAAACCCAGTGAGAGACCCAGAAGGAGCAGCCGGACACGGCAAGGTGGTAGTGTGACGCGCGGTGACTGGTCCCGAAGTGGGATCAGCCAGCGCCACAGAAACAGGCGCAGGAAGAGGCGTAAGTGTCGTGCTGTCACGAAAGAAGCAGTGAGAGGCTCCAGAGTCCAGCGTGAACGACAGCGAACCGTCCTCTGAGGTAGCCGCTGGACTAGAGTCTACACAAGAACCTACACTA